GTCTTTATATAAACATCTTTTACCTGTAATTATCATAAATATCAATTTCAGTTGTGAAATATTTCGCACAAATTTTTTTTTTTTTAAGTTTTCTTTCTTTGTCCTTTTTAACCTTATCTTTTGCTTTAGATCTTTGTTTCCACTTTTGTCTTTATTTTTCAATATTTTCTTTTGTATTCTTCTTTTCTTTCTAGACAATATATATAATCGTTGTTTTAAATAAGTCACGCGAGTGTGCGTTTTTTATTATTATAAAATATAAAAGCCGTAATGTACAATCAGGACTCCTGCATTTATTCACGTGCCACGTCGTTTCATTTACCTTTTTTTTTTTTTTTTGCCTTTAGAGCTTTTCCTACCGTTAATTTTTTTCTTTTCTAATTACTTTGTTAAAATAACTTTGAGTTATTTGCACAAATGGTCTCCAACCTACTTAGTAAGTGACAGTTTGGTCTCCAACTTTTTTTTTGGCAAGTCCACCCCCAACCTTTTAAAATAGGTGCAATCTAGTCATTTTCGTCAAGATCCATCTAAAAGCTAACAAGAGAAGCCCACGAGACCCAGATTCGTGGTGGAAAGATAAAATTGCCCGCTTAAAATCTTCTTTTATTCCTTTTTTTTCTGAAAATAAGCCGGAGAGGCGTGTTTCTGATTTCGGGCGAGCGGGTCAACCGTTCATACCACATCGAAGCTCTCGACAAGACAAACTTCTTCCCGCCTCCAGTTTCCTCATACGGCGCTCTGATCGCCGGAAAAACGTCAAAGTTGCTGGAAATCTAACCGGAGATGGTCGGAACTATTCTGGCGACCAATGATAGCAAACTTGGTATGGATTTTTACAACTCGACGAGAGGAGTCTAAAGACACCACTTGCCGGAGGATTAGGCGTTGGACGACACCGGAATCTACATTGAAAGGTGTTGTGGTAGAAAATTTCAAACTGAAATTCCAACCGATCGACGGCGAATCGGGCGGTAAGGTGAGGAGGTGTTGTAGATCAGCTCATGGGCTCTCTGGGTCCGGTCTCAATTCATGGTGGGCCATCACCTTCGTGGGTTTCTTCCATTGCAGCCCCAATTTGAAGAAATTTTAAGAACGCAAGATTTTTTACACTTACAGAGCAATTACCTACAATTTCAACCCCAAATTCTCTTTATTCTACCGTATAAACCACCCTCAAATCAACCAAGGATGTATTTTTACACATATACCCCAAGTTAAGGGGTCACGTTAGCTTTTGGACGGATCTTGATAGAAATGACGAGATTGCACATGTTTTAAATGGTTGAGGGTCGATTTGCCAAAAAAAAAAAGGTTTGAAACCAAACTGTCATTTACTAAATAGGTTAAGGACCATTTATGCTAATAACCTAATAACTTTTTATAAACATAGCCCCATTTAAATATTTTTCTTACAATCCTCTAAAATATAATTTATTCTGTTAAGATGTAACTTTTGACATATTAATTTCGGGTCCTGCTCTGCACGTGTTGCCATGTATGATGAGTCACTTGAGCAATCTATTAGAAAAACGTATTTTAATTTTAAACACATAGTAGTAGAAGTAATTAAAAAACAATTAAATATATGTATAATTTTCAATTAAGTGCATTTAAAAAATTAGATTTTTTTTAAATAGATGTATCAAAATGTGTTTCAATCATGAGTTTGAGTTTAAACTGTGCTTTTTTTCCAAAAAAAAAATTTAAATTAAATTAATAAATTTTGCTATAATATTTTCTCTCAAAAAATTTAAACCCATCTTCCAAGTGGGCTCTAAATTTTTAAAAACAAACTGAGAACAGGCGCTACGCACGTGTTAACTTTAAGTACTTTCAAACCATAATACATACTGGTTACAACCACCGGAATTAACTACCTGTTTACTTAAAGAAACTCAATGAGACGTTATTCGTTTTAGCTATTAATTGAACCAAATATTCTTATTTAGGTTAAAGGCCTGGCTCCATTGGCACTTGATATGATCCTTCCTTTTTTTCCTTTTTTTTGCTACTACTGGTATAGAGTTTCTTCGATAGACTGCTCTATCGATAGTTTTAATTTTTAACCGTTAAATTTAGTTAAAATCACATTAAATTAAAAAAATATACAAAATAACTAGCTTTTAATACAAATCTGACGGTTGAAAAATAAGAGACTATTAATAATCTGTGTCTTTAGAAACTAGCAAAGAAACACCCATTATTATATATGCTGCCAAGCTGTTCTAAAAATAAAAATAAAAAACCCCTTCCTGTAAGGCCTCAGAAGTTACATATATTCTCATTGCTGACTCTAAAAGATGACTTGAGATTTGTAGAAGACATTGCTTCGGGTACAATTGGAGCATCCCTTTTGCTTCCTTGCAATAAATATTAAACCTGAAAATCATTTTTGATGATATTTTTTTTTAATCATTCATTATGATCGCTTTTTGCTGCTTTTCACTATACCATGAACATGTTTTATCCTATTTCTTTGCAACTTTCACCATTTACATGCTCTCCATAGTTTTCCAAAATTATCAGCACCAATGTCTAATCTCTAGTGTTTTGACTTGCTGCCTTGCTTTTTGCTCAGTTTTTCAACCATTTCTTAAACTTTCTTTTGAGTTGCTGGAAAATCAGGAGTTCGAAGGGGGAAAAAATAGGTCTCCATAAATTTTTTCTTCCTTTTCTAATAAATAATTAAAAAAATAAGAATTATTAGTGCCATCTTACTCCTTAACATTTTCTATTTTTTTAAAAGAAAAAAACAAAAAATACAACTCAACATGGTAAAAAAATATTATTTATATCACTCCATTAAAAAATAAAAAATGTCATTCAATTAATAAAGAGGAAATAAAAAAGCCATAATGACACCAAAATATTTAAAATGACATAAATAATAAGCTTGAACTAAACCCTAACAAACCATGTACTTTTCTTAAAAAACAAAAAACAAAAATACCACTCAAGATGGTAAAAAATAATATTTATGACACCACTTAAAAATGCACAATTGTTATTTAATTAATAAAGAAAAAATAAAAGGTCATGATGACACCAATTATTGAATGACATAAATAATAGACTTGCATAAAATCATGACAAATCATGTACTTTTTTTTAGAAAAAATAGAATTTTTAAAAATGCATTAATAAAGTAACACTATTTTATTTCTACCACTATTATTAAACTTATCTTATACCACTAATAATCTATAAATTATCTTTTCATAACTTGCATGTTATCTTTCAAAACCTGAAAGTTATCACTTCGTATTCTACAAGTTATTTTCCGTAGTGGCATCAAAATTAATTTCTCAAAAAGAAAAGAAAAAATTGTAGAATTAACCCTTAAGAATGTATGGGTTTGAGTTTTTTTTCTCTCATTTTTAATTAATATTTTTTTAGTATAATTATTTGACTAAAAAAATTATTAATTAAAAAATAAAAATTATATCCATACCCTTTACCCTTTAAAGGGTATTTGTCTTGATCCATACACTTCTTAACGTATTTGTCTAGGCCCACCAACTAAGTAACCCATTTTTACCCAAACTACTATGGCCCAATACCGCATGACGATATATGACTTTTGTCAAAATTTGAACTTGAGGACATCATAAGAGCTCTCAAATAAAGAAAATACATCCTAATCCACGGTAGCTGTGACACTAGATTGGTTAGCTCCCTATAGGTTATGGTAACAATTAATAGTTGATTTATAATAATAATAATAATAATAATAATAATAATAATAATAATAATAATAATAATAGTCTACTCCTTTTTTGCATGAGACTAGAGTCCATGTAATCATGGGTTTGGCTACTAGTGGTAGGAGCACTACAATCATCAAGGTCCTTGATATTTCGAATTTTTAAAATCTTTCAACAACAAAGAGCATATTGCTATAAAGTAACTTGGTAATTGACAATAAGTATAAGATAATTCGGACCCACGTTGCTCAAAGTGCAAGATAAAAAAGCATGACAACCCTGTAAAGTGGCTGCTTGCTATATGTTAATACATTCATTTTTTATGCAGTCTAAGACTACTAATACATTTCTCAACAACCACTCTTTTTCTTACCTCTTCATCTTCTCTACCTTTTTCATTGACGCGTTCATGTTCATTCTCCACAGTCCACCCTTTAAAAGGCCGAAATGGATCGCCACACCAATTGGCCATTACCCATTAGCATTTATGGCTGGCAATGCATTCAAGTGACCCAAAATAAATGAGGTGTTTTGACCCGTTAATTTCCCTAATTTAAATTTTACAACAATCACCTTTTTTTTTACTACAGTAATAAATTCTCACGTAATATCACATTTAATTAACATTTATTAACAACTCAAAACAGCTAATTAAATGGGTATTTTTATCTTTTCTTTTAGTTATGTTATTTTTATTTGTTTTCAACCCCTTACATTAATTGCAAGTTGCATAAGATTTAGGATTCATAATTTGAGTTTTCAATTCGAGTTAAAATGTGATATTTTTTAAAAATTTTTTATTGTAATAGAAAAAATTAAATGTGACATTTTTTAAAAATTTTTTACTGTAAAAATTTAAAACTGAAAACTCGAATCGGTGAAATGAATAAGAATACACCCATAAAATATAAACATAAATTTGGTGTCGACGTTGTACCAATACAATATTCCCACGTGCAACAGAACCGAGAGCCACCATATACGGATAAGCACGACACAGAAAGCCCCATCTGATTGGACCAAACTGGCCATCAACACTTCTGAATTTCCAAGTTTTCAATAATTCCCCAAAAGTAAAATATAATTTCACATATAACAATTTGCACATACTGCCCAGCAAAGCATATGCCAAACTCCTCCAAAGAGACAACTTCAAACTGGTCACCGACAAAACAACTATTTTTACTTCACCAATAAGGACTGGCATAACTTTTTTTTTTTTTTCACCACATTTAGTATCAATAACTCTTTAAGGAAAGAACTAAGAAGCAAGAGAAAGGCAATGGTGTAAAATTAAAAACAATAAGGTGTAGATTTGAACAAATAGTTCAACAAGACGTCATTAAGCAATAAAAGGATCTGCATCACATCTGCAATAAAACCCCTAAATTAGCAAAAAAAAATTGAAAAGTAGCCACGGAAACTACAGTTTCTTTACTCCCCACTCCCTCTACCGATCATCTCCTTGTACCTCATGAACGAGTCGAGCCTCTGCAGCTTCAGCTGCTGCTTGAACTTATTGATGAAGTCGTCGGCCTTCGCGTCGACCTCGTCGTCGTCGACCTCCGCCGCCTTAACCTTCCCCTCCCTCACCGTCGCCGGCCGGCGAGCCTCGACGATGTCCGCCTCCTCGAAATGCGCGAATGCCGACTTCGCGCTCGCCGACTTCTTCATCTTCCTCGAGAGCTTCGGCGGCGCCGGCTCTCCGGCAGTCGGTTTCGTGTCGGACTTGCTCCGGCTGACGCCGCCGCCGCCGCCGTCCTTCAGCTGGCTGTAAATCTCATCCAGCGTCTGCGCTTGGTCGAATTGGTCTCCGTCCTCTTCGAGTCGCTCCTCCTCCTCTTCTCGCGGCGGCTCTTGCGCTAGGGTTTGCTCCGCCGGCACTTCTTGCGAGATGTAACTGTAGAAGTTGGACTTGAGCCTCTGAAGCATCACCGGAGATCTTGCGAAATGAGATTGCTCTCGCTCCGGAGTTTGCGCGACGGCGTAATTGGCGTCGTTTTCAGGAGATTTGAGGAAATTTGTTGTCGGTTCTTGGGATCTGTAGGAGTAGAAGTTGGACTTGAGCCTCTGCAAGACGGAGGGAGATCTGGCGAGCTGGCGGTGGTTACCGGCGGGGTCTTGGTGGTGATTTTGGGTGGTCAAGCTGGAGGTTATGGCAATGGTGCCGATCATGAGGTTGAGGAGGACGAAGAGAACAGTGGGAGTGAACCAGCTGTTCATGGAAGCCCATAATGAAGGTATGGAAGATGCGGATTCTTCAAACATGGCTTTTTTTGGACACAGAGAGAGAAGTGGTGTAGAGAGAGAGAGAGAGAGAGAGAGAGAGAGAGAGAGAGACAGAGAGAGTTAGATATGAAGAGAGAGATATAGGCCAAGAGGGGGTTCAGTTGGGTGGATATTTTTAGTTGGTATTTGTTTTTGGTATTTTTGGGGAATTTTGTTATATTTGTTATTATTTTTCACTTTTTTTAAGTTTTTTTTTTTTTTTTTTTTTTTTTCAGAATCTCGAGAGAGGAGAGTGTAGGCTTGTGATAAGCGGACAAAACAGGAGGGGGCGGAGGACTGTGTTGGTAGTTCTGTGAGGTTGTCGTTGGATTGGATTGAATTGAGGACAAATTACACTTGTCCGGTTATCCCTCTAAATTTTTTGAGTTTTACTAAAATATCCTTTAAAATTTAAAAATAATAAATTTTTTTATTCGTCGTTAGCACGCGTTCTCATTTTTCACATCCTCAATTAAATTTTAAATGTTAAGTAACACTTGAAAGTCGTTGAAGCATTCAATTTTTATTCTATTATGAAATGACGATTTTACCTATTTAAGTCAATCGTTGACCGCTCAAACCCGTCGTTGACTGGCATTGACCGGCCCAAAACTTAAGGATTTTGTTACCTATGATTTTCTGAGCAGTTTTACAGTAATATCACGAAGATCCAACAGTTGGATCGCCGGAACCACCTTTCATCAACATGGCTCATGGCGGCAGCTCCATTCTCCGGCGATTCGAGGTCGTGTGATGCAATTGATTGAGGGCTTTTGATCCACATCCCACTCTGAAACTAACTAGCCCGGCGGTGTCACTCACGGTGGCTGGAATGGCAGAGATCGACAGGGGTGCGACGACCAAACTTCGCGACAACGGTGACGGAGCTCTGCCGAGAATGTCTCGTCATTCTAAGTCTATAGAAACCAGAACACCTCAATCGGAGGTCGAATGAGGAAGTTATCACAACGGGAAGAAATTAGTAGTTTCAGCTCTTTTTTCGGCGAGTGTAGCGGCTACTGACCGAGCTGGAGGTCCTACTACATGTCGTGTTGCTCAATTCGTCGAGAGCTTCGTGATGGTGAGGGTGGTGTCAAAAAATGATGGAGGATTTTGCCCTATATCTAACTCACAATAAATTACTTATTTGCCCTTAAAATGAGAGTCACATGCCACCAACGTGTCACTTAACGTTTAAAATTTAACGAAGTTGGCGAAAAATGGGGACGTGGGCTAACAGTGAATTGTTCAGGAAAAATTTGTTATTTTTAAACTTTATGAGGTATTTTGATAAAATGCCCAAAGTTCAAGGGGACAAGTGTAATTTATCCTTGAATTAAAAAACGTCCTATGCGATGTTGACGACTTGTGTTATGCATTTGTGTATGATGAAAAAATACATCGCTTTTTTTTCTATAAAAATTGAAAAAGCAGGTAAAATTGATAAAATAATATATGTTAATAATTAGGAATTAACACAGTTCCATTAACGAGGTATACGACATGTATTTGTATTGTTATTCATTTTTCTTTTAGACATATAAAAAAAATAGGAGGAAATGAATGTGAAAAATTACTCCATTAAGTGGTTGCCGGCACTATTTAGTATTCACGTCTGACTCTACCACAAGGTGAAAAGTTTAAATCCCTCTTCTAAGTTAAAAAAATAAACGAGTATAATTCATTTTTTAGCTAATCTAAGCACAATCTTGGTTTAACCGTCATATTAAACTCATCTATTTTCAACACACTATAAATGAATTAAAGTCATCATTTCTTTGTATATGAATGATTTCATCCAAAAGTTCAAAATTGTACTTGGTTTAATATGAGGTTAAAATTATGCCATTCATACAAGGTATTTTTTCCATATTTTATCAAGTATTTTAAAAAAAGAATTTGAAAAGTACTGCAAAAAGTCATACAAGGTGGTTGTCCATTATTGTCCACATTAATTACTGTTGACGGTAACAGAAATACGCCGGATGACTCTTTAGTATTCCGTTAGACTACCAGCTAGAAATTAATTGTATATTTAGAATTATGCTATGAAGTGTGTGCTGAACATGAATGTAACACTTGAATAAGAGACACACGGGATTTATAGTGGTTCACCCTGTTAATGAAGGGCTACATCCACTTGCATAAGGTATATTTATTTTGGACCCTTTACAATTTATATGCATGCTCTCTCTCTTCTCATGCCATTTTTTTTCCAAAAAAACTCCTTTTCTGGGCGTATGGGGCTTTGCCCTTTTTATAGCCCAAACTTCCTTCGTGGGTGGTTTTCCTTCGTAGGTGGAAGTACTCGAGTGGCCTACTTTCTAGGCTAAGCACGTAGCCCACTAATCATTTTTGGACTGTTCACTCAGCCGTTGGGTCTTCTATTACGACTCTGTGACTTTCTGTAATCCCTTGTTACCCACCGCAGGGCGGTTTAAGGGTTTATAATTAATGTCTGCACTGCAGTCACCTCGGGGGTCCCGTGCTTATACGGCCGGGGCTGTCCCGTTGCGACAGAGTTCAGGCGCTGACCACAACCTGGCCGACCCTAGCCAAACCGTCTTCCCGTACGAGCCTTATAGACGTCGAGGGTTAATGGGGTCGGCGGCCTAAACGGTCGACGCCTACGTCTATGTAGCCACTGTGGGGCCACGTGGCGTGCCCTTGTTGGCTGACGTGTTCAAGCGTATATTCTGGTATAATAATTACCACAAAAAATCTTATAAAAAATTTACATTGTATTACACATTAACTTCAAGTTTCATTATAAATATACACATTTTTATTTTCTTTGATGTACCTTTGATATAAAACATTAGAAAAAGAAATCTCTCTCTTTTTGTGTTTTTTTAGTTTTAACTTTTATATCTTTATGTTATTGTCATATCTCTAAGTTTTTAAGAAAAAGTATTTTTTTTCATATCCATTGATAGTGTGGTGTTCACCAATTCTACGAATCCGTTTAATATAAGTCAATTCGTTGAATTAAGTTGGTAAAGGAGATTTCTAGATTTATAATGGATTGAGATTTGTTCAATTTGAGTGTTATTAATTTGATTGCGATCGAGTATTTTCTCAATCATTGGATTCAAACTACATGGTCAAAAATGTTTGCTCCTAACTAAACACTCTGCAAGCGTCGACTTCATCAATCGAGCCCAACTTTATCCAGCAAAGCCCGTTATTAAATGTCCAGTCCAGATAATATATGCAACACTAACCAAAGAGTTTCAAGGGTTATCAGAAGGCCGATATCCAAATAGCAAGAACAATCAACAATGTCTCTTTGTCATACTGGTATGTTGCAAGAAGTAATAACATAAAAACAAAAAAAAAAAATGAAGAAAAAAATGCCTACTCCTTTGTTTTACTTTATTATTATTATTTCTTTTCCAAAATATAGGTCCCTTTTATTTTATTAATTCGAGTTTAGAGTTCGAGTTTTGCTACAGTAAAAAATTCTCAGAAACAGTCACATATAACTTTTTTATTACAATAAAAAACTCTCATAAAAAGTTATATCTCAACTCAAATTAAAAATTTAAATCAACGAACTAAACGGGTCCTAATTATAGCTCTACGTTACAACTAGATTTTGGGGCCCAAGTCTTTCACTGGTATGACTCGTGCGAAGAATACGATTTACAATTGATGGACCCAATTGGAAAGCTTCCGATGGAAAGAAAACACAAGCATGCGACAAAAGTGTCTTCTTCAATATAAGACGTAGGGATAAAATGGCTTAAAAATCACGTAAGCAGAATTCGGGAAAGTTCCTTAAACGTAAAAGTTTCCGAGGCTTTCATCAATATGAGGAAAAAAAAAAAACGAATTACGTGTATTCTTTGGCTAGCAAAGGAGCGTTTCTTCTTCTTCTTCTTCTTCTTTTTTCTTTTTTTTTTTTGTTTTTGTTTTTCTTCTGAAATTCAAAGATTTTCACTGACGGAGCCGAAGCATAGCCAGTGGGAGCTTAAGCCCGCACTCAAATTTTTAAAAATTAAAAATCTTATATGTATTACTATATATATGATTGTTTATAAATTAATTAACCCTCACTAAAATTAATCTAATAATCTCATTTCTAAAAGCGTAGATCTCGTTTATTTTACCTATTCGAGTTTAAAATTTAAATTTTATTACAATAAAAAATTCTTAAAAATAGTCATATTTAACTTTTTTATTACAATAAAAAATTCTCGCATAAAATCACATATTAACTCAAATTAAAAATTTAAATAAACAAAATAAGCCGACCCTTAATATAAAAAAAAAAAAAAAAAAAAAAAAAAACTATGCACTTAGTATTACCCTTCACTCACAAAAATTTCTGAATCCGTCACGTCACTGAGGGTAACTTCAAAAGTTAAACTGCCACCACACTGGGGGCAAACATTCTTAGAAGTACAAAACCATAATATTTACTCCTAAATGCCCAAGCACACAACATGTGAGCTGCCCTATTACAACTTCTAGGGATTCCACTATTAAATTTTGTTTATTTTATTAATTTTAATTTAAAATTTAAATTTATAACAGTAAAAAAATTTTAAAAATAATTATATCTAATTTTTTTATTATATTAAAAAAATTTATATAAAATCACATTTTAATTTAAATTAAAAATTAAAATCAACGAATTAAATCTATCCTAACCCTAATGAACTCTAAAAAAGTAAATAACTAGAAGACAACCTCCAATATGGACAGACAACAACGTGAGAAAAGACATCAAGAATTAGGGGATATTTGGGTGGAGGATTCAAATCATGATTTGAATCATGGTTCATAGTTCGATACAGTATTTTCTCTCACAAAAAATATACGTAAATTAAAAATAATTCTAATAACATGATTCTAATCCATGAACTAAACGTCTCCAACTTTCAATCACCCTCGAAATCCACAACTCTTCACTCTTTAAGGTGAGCCAATTACTCCACAGCCCTTCTTAACGCTTTTAGTTCCGCCTCCGGTGTCAAGCTTGCCTCTTGATATCTAGTCCAAGCCACAATACGAATACTCTCTACTCAGGACTGAACATCGCTCCATGGCATTATCATTCCAAAGCAAGTTCATCATCAGTATTTGCTGGTACTGTACCACTAAAGTAACTGCAGACGTCAATGTTCCACA